AAGTGCTGGGATTACAGGCTTGAGCCACCGCGCCCGGCCAGGGAGGGTACTTTTTAAGGACAAAGCCAGAATAAATGAAATAGAAGTGATACAAACATAGGATATTTTTGATTCAAGAAAGATGTGTATATGTAGCATCATGTTCTAGGCACAATTAGTGAAAAATAACCTAGATACACACTAAGAATATTTCTGAATTACAAAAAAATTTTACAAGCAATCTGGTAAGGGAAAAAAAGGCTGTCTGGAATACGGTGGCTTGATCATGGCTTATTATAGCCTGTAACTCCTGGGTGTAAACTATTCTCCTGCCTCAGCCTCCTGAGTAGCTGAGACTACAGAGGCATGCACCACCACACCTACCTAATTTTTTATTTTTTTAAGTTTTTTTTTTTTTTTTTTTTTTTTTTAACAGAGTCCAGTAGGTTGCCCAGGTTGGACTTGTACTCCTGGCCTCAAGCAATCCTTCCATCTCAGCCTCCCCAAGTGCTGGGATTACAGGTCTGAGTCACTATATTACAACCAAGTCACACCTGGGGATTACAGGTGTGAGCCAAAGTCTGCTTAGGGGAGATCCAGCCTGCAGACATTTTAAAGGACCCTCATACATAAATATTAGGCATATTCCCTGTTAGGTAAATTGCCTCACAATAACGTGATCTACATTTTTCCCAATGAGGAGTTTTTAAAAAGTATTTCTGGGGCAGGCTTGACAATATAAACTTAAAGAATGTAGGTGAAACGGTCAAATGCCTATTTAATTCAGTAATTTAGTTCTACTACTACATATTTAAAGTCACATGTCATGTGAAGTAATATCAGAAGGATTACTCTCATGAAACTCCCATTTCACGACACAGTTTAATTCAAACATTTCAAATGCATCTTTAACATCACTGCTTTATCATCAGAACTTCTGGATTTAACAGTTCTCCAAAATATGTCCTCTTTATTTCCACCTAATGCGATCACTAAACATTTTCCTACAACTCACAAGTCCCCATTTACAGAGCCTTGAGAAAAGCTGCTTTTCCCATTTGTTCTTTAAATACATATTCATGTCTCTAAATAACACTTTCTAAATTGTTCTTTCAAGGGATATTTAAACGGTTTGTTGATCAGGACACCTAACACTTGCAGCAGTGAGGTCATACCCTGACGAATAATCACAAGATCCGCTTTTAATTGATCTCTGCTGTACTCCTTTCTTTCAGGTGACCTCTATAATCACATCCACCAATACTGACGTCACTTCAGGCTAATGCATCCTTCCCAAACAGTACTTGTTTTTCAAAATTAAAAAATAAACAAGAGATAACACCATGATTTCAAAGACTTTGCAAGAACTTCAAAATGACTTTCTCTTTGTTGATGAAAAATTCTGTGGGAATAAAACCTTGCCTTGTACTTGGGCATATCTGAAAAGAAGATGGCCAAGGGTATAGCAAGCAAACACAAATATTTGTGTTTAAACGAAGGCAAAGACTGTCATATTAACATCAGACAGAACAGAACACAACGAATATTGGACACGTGATATGATACCACATTTCAGCATTAATTCAGTCTTGTGCAGCCTTTGAGCAGCAATTGATTTCACTGATTTTTAAGGTTACTTGAGATAGTAACATATTACCTGGGGGCATTTTGTTTCTTAGTATTTCAACTTCTCTTTTTGTCTTCTTGGGTCTCCACGGCAAATGAGAATTATTTCCATTTCTTTCATAACGGGCATCTCCGTCCAAAAAGGCATCTACTTGGAGGCCAATACACGATTAATTTATAGGCTATAGCTATAGCTACAAGTCTATAAAATCATCATTACATGCTCACATGCGATAATCAGGAAAACACAAAAATTACTATCCAGTTTTTTTTAAAGACAATAAGAATTCTGCAGTAGCCCTTTTGCTCTGCAGCCTGGTCACATCAAATTATGGTGTTCTACATTTCAAATTAAGTCCACTAATTGGATCAACACTGAGAAGTTCATTAACCCTATATGCCTAGTGTTCCATTATTGGAATGTTAAGCTTGGAATTGTATCCTACTGCTTAAGGTCATCGCCAGGGTCTGACTTTTCACCAAAAAAGTTTGCAACCTCCAGCATAAATGGGAAATATCCTACTAAGCGTAATAGTCTCCTTTGTGTTCTATAACTCTCATTGGTAGAGATAAAAGACTTCTCAAGGTGGATGATAACATTCTTTTTTGAGAGATAGTTTTTGCTCTGTTGCCTAAGCTGGCGTGGAATGGTGTGATCTTGGTTCACTGCAGGCAATGCAACTTTATTGCTTGAACCTCCCGAGTTCAAGCAATACTCCTGCCTCAGCCTCCTGAGTAGCTGGGATAGGTGCATGCCACTACACCCAGCTAAGTTTTATATTTTTAGTAGAGATAAGGTTTCACCATGTCCAGGCTGGTCTCGACAACCTGACCTCAAGTGATCTGCCTGTCTTGGCCTCCCAAAGTGTTGGGATTACAGGTGTGAGCCACCACGCCCGGCCAGCAATAACATTCTTGGACATGCCTCCTTGCACACATTAAAAGGAGTTTTTCACACATGCTGTTGGACATGGCGAGAGAAAAAGCATATAACCCCTTGACTGTGGCTCAGCTTAAATTCGTGGTCACGAAGCTTGAGTGGCCCGCCTTCACGCTGCCTGGCAGTCTGTTTCCACTCTCCCAGGTGAACTCCACTTCCCTCTACTCAACCACCAACACCTGGAAGCCTCCCTCCGTCTCATTTCCAGGTCAGGTGATCAACTTGCTTTCTAACTCAAGGAGAAAAAGCAATGTAGAGTCCTTCCACAACTCCGGCCGTCAAATCTAGCCACCTACTAGCACCTGTACCTGTAGAGAGACAATGCCTTCTCTCATGCTCTACACATCTTCATACTCCTACCCAAGTGAATACCTCTAGTTGTTCAGTAGCTCAAATCCAGTGCATCATTCCTGAATGCTATTTTTCCTGTCTCAAAAAAAAACCCAGCAACTTATATTGGTCTCATGAACTACTGCCCCAGTTGTTTTCTGCTCTTGAGCAAAATCACCTTAAAAATTGTCCTAACTTGTTAGCTCCAATTCTTCTCCTCCCCTCTATTTCCCTACTTTTAGAGATTGTTTTTTAAAATGTTGACAGACTGGGCATGGTGGCTCACACCAGTAATCCCAACACTTTGGTAGGCTGAAGAGAGTGTATCACCTGAGGTCAGGAGTTCAAGACCAGCCTGGCCAACATGGTGAAACCTCCGTCTCTACTGAAAACATAAAAATTAGCCAGGCATAGTGGCGAATGCCTGTAATCCCAGCTACTCGGGAAGCTGAGGCAGGAGAATCACTTGAACCTGGGAGGCGGAGGTTGCAGTGAGCTGAGACGGCGCCGTTGCACTCCACCCTGAACAACAGGAGTGAAACTCTATCTCAAAAAAAAAAAAAAAAACAAAAATGTTGACATAAATTTGTTTTATAATTGCTTTAGACTGTTTTGTGCTGCTATAACAGAATACCACAAACAGGGTAATTTATAAAGAACAGAAATCTAATTCTTACAGTTCTGGAGGCTGCAAGCCCAAGATCAAAGCACTGCCATTTCGAGTTGGACGAGACCTGCACACTCGTAAGGAGGAAGGGCAAGAGAACTCCTCCCTCTGCCGAGCCCTTTTATAAGGGCGCCACGTCCCGCTCACAGGGGAGGAGCCCTGTGGTCCAGCCCACGTGTTAAAGCCCCACCTCTTAATACAATCACACTGGCAACACCTGTTTCGGAAGGGGCACGTTCAAACCATAGCAATAATTATGGAAAACATTTAAAGAGTCTCCATGCCAAAACTATCAAACTGGTACATTTTGAAAGGTCTTATTTCCATCTTCATCCTTTCTGCCCCATTTTCTCTCTCCCCCAGACATAACCATTTTCATTAGTTTTTGTTTCTCCTTCTATTACATTTATACATACGCGTATGTATATAAGTAAATATATATGTTCTGTACCTTTATTTTCCACTAAAAAAAATCACAGAGCTAACTCCACTGCAGCGCATGGAGATGGTTGTTATTTGCTTTTTACCACCAGTTCCCTTTTGATGGGATTATTCCTACTTTTTGGTCTTACAGAGAGCAACATGAATAGCCTTACGCGTTCATCTTTTGGTATTTTTGCTGTTTTGGCTTTGGGATAGAGTCCTGGCAGTGGAGGTGGGGTCAAGGGTAGATGTATATGTTATTTTGCTAGATATTGCTGAATTCCCCTTTATTTACAAGATATATAGAGAATATATCTTCCTGCATTCTCACTAGCAACTTATGAGAGTACATATTTTCTTACAGCCTTGCCAACAGCATATGTTAAGTTTGTGAATTTATGCCAATCTGATAGGTGGAAAAGGATATCTCCGTTTATTTTTAATTTGCATTACTCTATTTTTTTTGGCAAGAATACTGTATAAGTCATATGTATACTTACATCAAGGCATTTTTCTTTCTTTCTTTTTGAGTCTGATTCTCGCTTTGTCGCGCAGGCTGGAGTGCAGTGACGTGATCTTGGCTAACTGCAACCTCTGCCTTCCAGGTTCAAATGATTCTCCTGCCTCAGCCTCCCTCCCGACTAGCTGGGACTACAGGTGCGTGTCACCACGCCCAGCTAATTTTTTGTATTTTTAGTAGACATGGGGTTTTACCGTGTTAGCCAGGATGGTCTCGATCTGCTGACCTTGTGATCCTCCTGCTGGAGCCTCCCAAAGTGCTGAGATTATAGGCATGAGCCACTGCGCCTGGCCAAATTTTCTTTTTTTTTTTTAATGTAATTTATTATTTTGAGATAATTATGTATTCATATGCAGATGAAAGAGAAAATGCAGAGAGATGCCTGTAGTCAGTTTCCAAGGGTAACACATCTTGCAAGAGCAACAACAGGATATTGACACTGATACAGTCATGTCAAAAATTTTCTTCAGTTGCTACAAGAATCCCTCACATTGCCCTTTTATAGCCATGCCTACTTCCATCTTGCCCCCATGCCCTTCTTAGACCCTGACAACCACTAATCTGTTCTCCATTCCTATCATGTTGTCATTTCAAGAACGCTCAATAAATGGCACCATAGAGTATATCATATTTTGAGATTGGCTTTGTTCACTCAGCAGAATTCTCTCGAAATTTCTGTATCAATAGTTTGTTTCTTTTTATTACTGAATTACAACTAGAGGGATTCACTTTGGGTAGGAGTATGAAGATGTGTAGAGCATGAGAGAAAGCATTGTCTACCTGCAGGTACAGGTGCTGGTAGGTGGCTAGGTTTGATGGTCGGAGTCGTGGAAGGACTCTACATTGCTTTGATTTTCTCCCTGAGTTAGAAAGCAAGGTGATCACCTGACCTGAGAATGAGATGGAGGGAGGTCCCCAGGTACTGGAGATTGAGTAGAGAGCGGGAAGTAGGAAAGTCACCCGGGAGAGTAGAAACGGTATGACTGTCATGGCTGGACCACAGTGGTTTAACCATTCACCTGTTGACAGATGTCTGAATTGTTTCCAATTTTGCTCTATTGTGAATAAAGCTGCTATAAGCATTCATATACATATTTTTACATGAGCACAGGTTTTCTCTTTCTGCAATAAATGCCAAGCAATTTCTGAGTTGTATAGTAGTTGTTTTTTTTTAAGAAATCACCAAGGCCGGGCACGGCGGCTCATTCCTGTAATTCCAGCACTTTGGGAGGCCGAGGTGGGAGGATTGCTTGAAGCCAGGAGTTCAAGATCAGCCTAGGTAACATAACAAGACCCCATCTCCACAAAAATAAATAAATAAATAAGCCAGGAGCAGTGGCTCACGCCTATAATCCCAGCACTTTGGGAGGCCAAGGCAGGCAGATTACTTGAGGTTAGGAGTTCGAGACCAGCCTGACTAACGTGGAGAAACCCCACCTCTATTAAAAATACAAAATTAGCTGGGCATGGTGGCAGATGCCTGTAATCCTAGCTAATTGGGAGGCCAAGGCAGGAGAATCACTTGAACCCAGGAGACAGAGGTTGTGGTGAGCCAAGATCACACCGTTGCACTCCATCCTGGGCAACAAGAGGGAAACTCCAGCTTGGAAATAAATAAATAAATAACAGCAACAACAACTACACACACACAAATGCATACATACATAGCTTAATCCTGATCTACTTCTGTGGAAGTGAACCTCGGATAACAGCATCCTCACCCTTAGTCTTCTCATCTTCCTCTGCCATATTCTCTTCTCCTCTTTCCCATCCTTCCCTCTGAAGCCCCAATGCTGACTGAATTACGAGTGTGCATGTGGAAAATGATGTCAGCAATACAGTTTCTCCGACACTCTACCCAAGTCAAAACATGAGGTAACATCGAGGCACAACTCTTCCAACTCCCATTGGAAGTCACTCCAGATAACAGTTTCTTATGCTAATCAGTTTTATGAAAATCAAAAGCCCTGTATCATCCCATGATCTATCACTGACAGATTATTTAACCAATACTCTCACATGTACTCCTTATTTAGAGTCAGTTTTCAAAATTTGGGTATTTGGCAGTATGTAGCTTTATCACTTACCAGTCTGGCAAATGAAATAGTGTCCCAGTGAGCACTTGTCCCCTTTGAATGAGATCCGACTGAAGTTTCTGGACAGGTAGGTGCAGCTGGGGGGCTTTGTGTCCCCGTGGGCAACAATGTCTGCTGAGGGGAGATCAGACCCAGATAAGCCTCATACTTGAAAGCCAGGCTTTTAATTTATTTTTTATTATTGTTTTTGAGACAGAGTCTCACATTGTTGCCCAGGCTGGAGTGCAGTGGCATGATCTCAGCTCACTGCAACCTCCGCCTCCTGGGTTCAAGCAATTCTTTTGCCTCAGCCTCCAAAGTAGCTGGAATTACAGGTGCCCACCACCGTGCCTGGCTAATTTTTGTATTTTTAGTAAAGATGGGGTTTTGCTATGTTGGCCAGGCTGGTCTCGAACTCCTGACATCAGGTGATCTGCCCACCTTCGCCTCCCAAAGTGCTGGGATTACAGGCATGAACCACTGTGCCCAGCCACCAGACATTTTTTAAAAGTAAATATGAAAGCCAAATTTGGCTGGCTTCCAATAGACAGCAATTTAGAATTTCCTCCCATATATTATAGTTTATTTTTTCATATGTATTCCTTATCACAAGGCTTAGTATTACTTTACCTATGCATTAATGAAGATGACGAGAATGATATAATAATGCCTTGGATTTGTCTCTAAAACTTCAAGATGATGGTGCATAACTTTGAAAACACTTTGTAAGAAGAACAATAATTTCCTCTTTGTTTCTGTGTTAGGAAATTTGGAGCTCAGAATAATGAAGAGATGTTTATTAGGGAAACAAATGACTGTCAAAGGTTGCTGTCTCTCAAATCTAGCACAATTCTTCTAGTGAAAGGTTAGGTAAGTTAACTTTAGATGGGTTCTAGGAAAGATCGCATCACTTTTGCTACACAGACGAATCAAAGGCTGTAGCACAAAATGGAAACATTTCAGAGGAAAGATGGTAATGAAGTAAAGTGACTGGTTTTTCTGTATACAAAAGCAGAAAGATTAAGATTTTCCTTTTCTTCTGCCCCGGAATAAAATATAAGGAAGTTTCCTTCATCAGCACTAAACCCCACAGTCTTACCTGGATATTTTTCGTCTTGATGTTTTTTCAGTGGCATTACATTTTGGCCAATCCACCACTTTTTTCCTTCTTCCAGAAAGTCCCAGATGTGATCTGGAACTTCCTGGTTCCTAATATGAGCTAGGAATCCACCCTGGGCATGGCAGTAGTGCTCTGCTTCCTCAAAGCTGCAGTGAAAGCTGTTAAGCTGATAACAATTGTTTTGCCCATGTCGCTCTGGGCTGTTTAGCTCACTTGCTAGAATGATACTTGTTCTCACATATAACCAAAGCCAGCTTCTTCCTTTGAAGAACATTTTCTCTGAATTGTAGCAAGAAAAAGTGTGTAGGTTCAGCAGCTGCCTGGTCCTTTAAATACATATATTAGCGGCCTTGTCTTAGTATTATTCTTTTATGAATTGGGAACAATTTACCAAGGATACAAAAGGTTTTATTTTGAGGACCCAGGTGCAGTTCCTATCCTACAAGCTGAAAACAAATATCAGAGATCAATAAAGCAATGAGCCTTTGTATCTTGGGCCCCACCATCTGTGTCTACCTACCATATATGCGTATAGCAAATACAGATGGATTATAAAGCTGAATCTAAGCTGCGCCGGGCAGAGGATGATGAATATCTAACATCTAAGTCAGTGTGGCTAAAAATTAATAAGTGTAGCTTTTTCTTTTTTGAGACAGGGTCTTATTCTGTTGCCCAGGCTGGAGTGCAGTGGCTTGATATCAGCTCACTGCAGCCTCGACCTCCGAGGCTCAAGTGATCAATCCTCCCACCTCAGCCTCCCAAGCAGCTGGGACTACAAGAGCGCACCACCATGCCCAGCTAATTGTGTGTGTGTGTGTGTGTGTGTGTGTGTGTGTGTGTGTGTGTGTGTAGGTGGGTAGGTAGAGTCTTGCTGTGTTTCTTGGGGTGGTCTCAAATTGCTGGGCTCAAGCCATCTGTTTGCCTTGGCCTCTCAAAGTCCTGGTATTACAGGTGTGAGTCACCAGACTCAGCCATGTTTTTTTTTTTAAAGAAAGTCATTCTTGCAGACCCCTAGGACTGATTTTTTTTTTCTTTGAGATGTAGTTTTGCTCTTGCTGCCCAGGCTGGAGTGCAATGGCGTGATCTCGTCTCATTGTAACCTCCACCTCCTGGGTTCAAGCGATTCTCCTGCCTCAGCCTCCCGAGTAGCTGGAATTACAGGCATGTGCCACCACACCTGGCTAATTTTGTATTTTTAGTAGAGATGGAGTTTTGCCATGTTTGCCAGAGTAGTCTCAAACTCTTAACCTTAGGTGATCCACCCACCTTGGCCTCCCAAAGTTTTGGGATTACAGGTGTGAGCCACTGCACCTGGCCTAATTTTTTTAAAAAGGAGTTTTATTGTGAATATTTAAGGTACATAGCATGATGTTATGGGATGTATATAGATATTAAAAAGGCTATTATAGTAAAACAAACATATCCATCATCTAACATTAATTACCCACTTTTTTTTTGGTTTTGTGGCAAAAGCAGCTAAAATCTCATCTAGCATGAATCCTGTCTACTATCCAGTTTTGTTACCTGTAGTTCTCAGGTTGTACATTAAATCTCTCGACTTGTTCATCCTACATCTCTGCTACCCCCAGGACTGATTTAAATTACTGTATTCTGTCTTTTAAGTACATGCAAACAGAACTAAGCATAAACTCTATGTTTTTTGAAATGGAGTCTCGCTATGCTGCCCAGGCTGGAGGGCAGTAGCATGATCATAGCTCAGTGCAGTCTTGAACTCCTGGACTCAAATGACCCTCTCACCTTGGTCTCCCAAAGTCCAGGTGTGAGCCACCATCCCAGGTCCATTAACTTTATCTTAAAACTCTTACACAGTCATAAAAACCAAACAATATTAAATGGAAAAATGAATACAAATTAAATACAAACAAAACCGAAAACGAATGAGATCCAAATTTTGCCAAGCTAAATAGCAGATAAACAGGGTTCTCTGGCCTATGAATGCACAGGTTCCTTTGAATCTGGCATGCATACTATTTTATGATATGGGGAAGATTCAATTCTGTTACCGCATTTCTTTATTTGACTCATTAAAAGAAAAAAACCTTTGTTGAAACACAGCAGGTCATTTGGTCTCCACCTGTTGCGTACCCATCACATGTATTACAGCTGGTTCTGTCTTGGTGCCAAAAAGTGATGATAAATGCAAACAAATGTGGGCACTGGACCAGCTGACAGGTTTCAGGGTTAAGATGGTTATTCAGATAGTCGAAATGGTGCTTACATTACTCTAAAAATCAGTACACAAGTGGCCACCAAAATTATGTGATTCTCTAAAACACAGACTCCAAGAATACATCCTGTTTGAAAAACACTGCAGTAATCGTCTGGGTGTGGTGGCTCAGGCCTCTACTCCTAGCACTTTGGGAAGCTGAGGTGGGTGGATCACTTGAGTTGAGGAGCTCAAGACTAGCTTGGCCAACATGGTGAAACCCTGTCTCTACTAAAAATACAAAAATTAGCCAGGCATGGTGGCGTGTGCCTGTAATCCCAGCTATTTGGGAGGGTGGGGCAGGAGGATCACTTGAACCAGTTGGTGGAGGTTGCAGTGAGCTGAGATTGTGCCACTGCACTCTAGCCTGGGCAACAGAGTGAGACTCTGTCTCAGAAAACCCCCCCAAAAAACAAAAAAAACCCAAAAACACTGCAGTAATCAAATGAAAGATAAATACAGCACAATCATCACTTTCAAAAAGGCCAGTAAGGGAAGAAAAGGCATAATAATTATAACTAACAAAGACAATGAAAAGTGCCAGCCTACAGGGACAGCGTAAGTGCTGCTGTGAAGGTTCAGATAAGGAAGAAATTACTTTCGGCCTTTGAAACAAACATATAAAGATGGCAATATTTAGACAGATGAAACGGACATCTTGGCAGAGAAGTCGATGTGAATAAATACACAGAGGTGGGAAAGTGGGAGGTATTGATAAAAAGAAAGAAATACTTGTGTGTGTGTGTGTGCACGTAGGGGGTACTTGGTGGGACTGTCGTGGGAACCGTAACCAGAAAATGGGAGCGTTTCAAGTGCCAGGATAAAAGGTTTGCAGTTTATTTGGAAGGTTTCTGAGCACGGTAGTCCATCCTTACAAGAGTGTGAGGCAATGGACTCATCTGGATACAGGATGCTTTTTTGCTTTCAAAGTTCACAGAGCCTCAGCTTCGAAACACCTTCATATACATACACAAATAAACACACCACACATCCACGCATATGTTTCAAGCATTTTAAAATAAAACCTGATGAACGCCTACGGGGTTCAAGCGATTCTCCTGCCTCAGCCTCCTAAGTGGTGCCCGCTACTACGCCCGGTTATTTTAGCTTTCTTTCTTTCTTTCTTTTTTTTAGTAGAGACGCGGGGAGGGGTTCCTCCATCTTAGACAGGCTGGTCTTGAATTCTTGACCCCAAGTTATCTGCCCACCTGGACCTCCCAAAGTGCTGGGATTACAGGCATGAGCCACTGTGCCCGACCTCAAGAAAATGTTTTAATTTCTTTAAAAACCTGAAGAAAAATAAACTTTTACGTAGAAAAACATTTATATATTAACATATTCATTTTATATAAACACAGCAGTAAAATTTATTATTTATTTATTTTTAAATAAAGACGGGGTTTCATCATATTGGTCAGGCTGGTCTTGAACTCCCGACCTCAGGTGATCCTCCCGCCTTGGCCTCCAGAGTGCTTGGATTACAGGCACCATGCCCGGCCAATTGATTTTTTAAAGCAATAAAAACTGCAGATATACTTCTGGTGTGAAACACAGTGTTCTTATGTCCACGCTAAAATAACCAGCAGGGGGCCCACGAAAATCGCAAGGCGACCCCGGCAGAAAGACAGCGGTGTTTGGCACGACCTCAACACCTGTCTTCCTGACAGAATCCCGACTCCTCGCGGACTTTCGGATTCGACAATGTGGGATTACGGGACTAGCGACAAACCCCGCGCAGCACCTCCTCGGCCAACCGCCGGCGACGACACCGGAAGACCAGGAGGAGGGCGGGTATAAGAGGCTTGACCGCCGCTACTGCGCAAGCGCACCCAACCGGAGCCTGGCCTTCCCAGCTGCGGAGGCGCCCGCTCAACCCTACTGCTTGAGGATTGGTGGACTGGCGCGTAAGGGCTGGAAATAGGAGGGGCCGCCGCCATATCCTCCAATGGAAGGGAGACAGGGGCGGACTTAATGACGGAAAAAGCATGGCGTGGAGACATCTGAAAGTGAGTCCTGCGAGTGATGCTTGGGGCTACGAGGGTGTGTCCGGACGGGACCAGGGCGGGCGAGGGGAGAACGGGGAGCCAGGCCGGTGAGGCTTGGATCGAAGGCGGCTCCGGGTGTGTGGCCCCCCCGGGACGTGTGCGTGTTTCCGGGGGCGCCTGCAAATGCTCGTACGTGTGCATTTGCACGTGGACTCGGTCGGGCGTGTGCAGACAGCGCCTGCAGGTCTGGTAGGGTGCTGATCTGAGTGTCTGCGCCTGGGCCATGTTTTTGAGCCTGGCACAGGGCTGCTTAGTGAACACATGACCTCCTAGCGTTGTGTGCAGGATCCAATTCGGAATGAATCTAGAGTAGGACATGCTCCCAACCCTTTTAGGTAAAGTTTTGTTTGGGGGAGGCTCTATGTGAAGCGTTCTTAGTTGTATCCCCGTATGTAGTAGGTATTCAAATGTTTGTTGATTGGCATGGGGGCGTCGTAGAGTCTCCAAGGGAGGCAATGAATACCTTGAGTCTCTCTTTTACTTATTTATTATGAGACGGAGTCTCGCTCTGTCGCTCAGGCTGGAGTGCGATGGCGTGATCCCGGCTCACTGCAACCTCCGCCTCCCGGGTTCAAGCGATTTTCCTGCCTCAGCCTCCCGAGTAGCTGGGATTACAGGCGCGCGCTACCCTGCCCTGTTCATTTTTGTATTTTTAGTAGAGACGGGGTTTCACCATGTTGGTCGCCCTGCCCGAGTCTCTTTTTAAAATAAATATATGAGGCCGGGCACAGTGGCTCACCCCTGAAACCCCAGCACTTTGGGCAGCCGAGGCAGGCCATGAGATCCAGAGATTGAGACCATCCTGGCCAACTTGATGAAACCCCGTGTCCACTAAAAATACAAAAAAATTAGCTGGGCATGGCGGCCGGCGCCTGTAGTCCCAGCTACTCGGGAGGGAGGCTGAGGCAGGAGAATCATTTGAACCTGGGAGGCAGACGTTGCAGTGAGCTGACATCGTGCCACTGCACTCCAGCCTGGCGACAGAGCAAGACGCCGTCTCAAAAATAAAAAATTAAAAATAAATATAGGGAGAGAGATGGGGTCTCACTGTGTTGCCCAGGCTGGTCTAGAACTGTTGGCCTCAAGGGATCTTCCCACTTCAGCCTCCCAAAGTGGTAGGATTACAGGCGTGGGCTACTGCACCCAGCCAGTGAATACTTGATCTACATCTCTTTAGTAGTTTGGAAAGATCCTTAAAAACAAAGCTGATCATTTCCTGGCTTAGGGAGCAAAACCTAAATCTTTACTTTGACCAAGACTCCTGCTCATTTCTCCTGCCTCTTCTTTTTTTTTTGAGACGGAGTTTCACTCATGTTACCCAGGCTGGAGTACAATGGCGCGATCTCGGCTCACCGCAACCTCTGCCTCCTGGGTTCAGGCAATTCTCCTGCCTCAGCCTCCTGAGTAGCTGGGATTACAGGCACGCACCACCATGCCCAGCTGATTTTTTGTATTTTTAGTAGAGACGGGGTTTCACATGTTGACCAGGATGGTCTCGATCTCTTGACCTCGTGATCCACCCGCCTTGGCCTCCCAAAGTGCTGGTATTACAGGCTTGAGCCACCGCGCCCGGCCTCTCCTGCCTCTTCTTAAGCCTTACTTTCCCTCACTCACTGTTCCAAACTTTCACCCTTTCTCATTCTCTTCTGCTACTGTTAGAGCCTTTATACATTTTCCTCTCCCTACTGCCTTCTAGTTAACTATTTTTTAAAATAATTGAACCAGAATAAGTTCAGAGAGACTCCCATCAACTCGTTTATCCCTTGAGCATCAGCTTTAAGTTATTTCCTTAATGAAGGCTTTCCTTACCTCTAAGATTGGGTTGAATTCTTTCCTTACCTTATACTTTTTATCCTTCATCACAGTTACCATGACTACATATTTGCATGCTCCTTGATTTCTGTCCATCTCTTCATAAGATCACATTCTCCACTAGGGCAGGGGCAAGATCTGTTTTGCCACTTTTGCTCATCAGTATTTGATGAGTGACTGGACTCATGAATTATCATTCAGCATCTGGCAGTGATAATTAAAGAAAAGACTGTGAACCACTTTTGACAGAAGGAGCATAGCATGGAGACACCTGAAACTGAGTCCTGACTCACTGCATCCTAGACCTCCTGGGCTCAAGGGATCCACCCACTTCAGCCTCCCAAGTAGCTGAGATCACAGGTGCACCACCATGCCTGGCTAATTTTTTATATTTTGTAGAGACGGGGTCACTCGATGTTGCCAAGGCTGGTCTCAAACTCCTGAGTTCAAGCAGTCCTCCCACTTCAGCCTCCCAAAGTGCTGGGATCACAAGCATGAGCCACCAAGTCCAGCTATGTACAGTTTTAAAAAGCCAGCATAATTAATACCCCAACTGGAATATAAAGGAGAAATTTTAAAAGTAGTTTATATTAATAATAAAATCACATGTGTTTCAGTATGTAAATATTCTATATGGTTCCCCTAGTGAGATCTGTTTAAGCCTCTATTTAGAAATGTGAATGCACAGGTGTGTGACATCATCAAACACCCCAGCAAAGCACTGTACCATTCCCGATGAGATTTTCTGAAATGGTGAACAATTCTTGGGAATGTTCTGTGCAAAACTGGACAGTTGCCCCTCAATTTGCAAGATACTTGTACTGTATGTGAAAACCATGTGGAGGCTGGGCATGGTGGCTTACGCCTGTAATCCCAGCACTTTGGGAGGCCAAGGCAGGAGTACTGCTTGAGCTCTAGAGTTCAAGACCAGCCTGGGCAACATAGCAAGATTTCAAAAAATTGGCTGGGCTTGGTGGCATGTACCTGTGGTCCCAGTTATTTGGGGAGACTGAGGTGGGAGGATTGCTTGAAACCAGGAGGTCAAGGAAGACAGTTTGTGTTGATGTGATAAAATGTAGTTTGGTTCAGATAATATGAACAGATAACTTTTCCCCCACACAAATGTCAGTAGGACGTTCAGAAGTCACACAGGAAGTGGCGCAGTTCATGTTAGATAGTCTCAAGCCCAGAAGGATGTCTGACTTTACGGATTCCTGCCCACCACGTCTATTAGCATTGCCCTGTCACTGTAACCAGTAACGGTATCCACCACAATCCCCCTAGGGGACGGTACTGTCCCTCTTGAAATCTCTGGCCTGGAGTCCCAGGAAGGCCTTTAGGGCCGGAAGAGGGCATGCACACAGAAGTGTAGATAGAGCCTCTGACTGTAGAGGCCAGTGTCAGTGGCAGGAAAAGGGCATCTGTTTCATGTGGCCTGCAGTTATGCCTTCTGTGTGCCTGGGTGTGAAGGGCTCAGGGAGGGTGTTGCAGCCTGGCTCGGGGGCCCCTTTAATAGGCTCTTTTTTTGGCAGAAGCGGGCCCAGGATGCTGTGGTCATCCTGGGGGGTGGAGGGTTTCTCTTCGCCTCCTACCTGATGGCCACGGGGGATGAGCGTTTCTATGCTGAACACCTGATGCCGGCTCTGCAGGGCCTGCTGGACCCAGAGTCAGCTCACAGACTGGCCGTTCGCTTCACTTCCCTGGGGCTCCTTCCACGGGCCACATTTCAAGACTCTGACATGCTGGTAGGTGTTCTGGGACATCCTGTGCAAAGGTGAAGGCTGAAGTCTCCTAAACTCAGCTGGGACTGATCTTTTTGAAAACCAGAACCCCAAGTGGGCAGTGGGGATTTGGAATTCAGTCTGAGCATTATTATTTTATGTCATGTTGCGTATATGGGATGGTGTTAGGTGGTGTTCCTGTGTGATCCTCCCAGCTGCTGCGTGAGCTGGGTCCTGTTACCGTCCCCCAACAGGGATCAGGAAACCGAGGAACAGAGTAGTAACAAAAAGTAACCCAAGTCACACAGCTAGCGGGAAGCAGAACGAGGATTCAAACCCATGGAATCTGATGCTGGCTTCCTGCCCCTTGGCCGCTGTCCTGCCTTGTTGAGGTTCAGATAGTTCAGTCCTCCCCTCGGCTACATGGGGAAGCTGCCAGAATCAATAAGCGCAGGTGCGAGGCAGGAGGGTCTAGTCCCAGCCTCAGCCTCACTCAGCTGCATATCCAGCATATGGGCACTCTCCATGCGCTGATGTGGGCTGGGTTCTGGGCTTAGTGCAGCATACCGAATTGAAGAATCCCTGTCCTTGTGGAAGCTGCATCCTCGTGGAAGCCTCTGCAGTTTCCTTTTGAGAGGCTTCTTACCAAACAGAAGGACATCAGAAAGACTTGTGTGTGAAAACGCAAACAAGGAGCACTCAGAAACTCTGGTGGGGAGGGTCACTGTTACAAACTAGAGGGGCCTTCACCGCATTTCCCGTTCCTACCTAAAACTCCTTTTCACTTCCTGATTGTATGGTGTTGAGATGTGTCATTTTCCCTGACTCACCATGCTCACATACTAACAGGCACTGTAGGCCCAGAAAGAAAGAGCACTCCTTTAAGCCGTCCTCACCCTAGACTGCTAGTCTGAGAGCCTTGGAACCAGTGAAAATGTGAGTGAATAATGAGTGGGATACAGAGATGGGGTGAATTTAGAAGGAATTGCAGTGTGCTTGAGGGCGAAAGCTGTGTCTGTGTAAACACAGATGCCTGAGCTATTGCCCTGAACACCACGGTGTGGGCCCACTCTTACAGCAGCTCATTTAGAATGTGACTCAGACTTTTTAACTGGTAGCCAGGACTCTTTATGATTTCACCCCAACTTTCCTGGTTTAGCTCTCCACGCTTTGCCTCTGTCAGGCATATTAGAATCCCCTGGGGGTACACTTGGAATAGTCAGATGCCCTGGCCCTGTGCCAGGCCAGTTTCACTGCCACATCTGAGAGCGGGGCCTGTTCTAGTCCAGCCCCCAGTCTCCTCCCAGTCCCGAGGTGCCAAGAACATTCTCACCTTCATTTGTTGTTATTCTTCCTTCTTGGAGCGTCTCTCTTAACCCCTTCCTTCCAGGATCCTTTGGTGCTCAACCTGGGAGGCCCTGGCTAGTCTCCTGAAAGGTCACGAAGCCCGTCAGTCAGCTCTGCCCAGCTTAACACCTCACCTTCCTTCCTCTGGTTCCCCATGGGAGGCTGGGGCACGTGGCCGGGGCTTCTTACCAGCCTGGATGAAGAGGGACACAGCTGGAGCTGATGTTTATTAAGCTGATTAAAGGGTTTTGCTGCTTGACATGTCGTGGTTTCAGGGAAGCACTACCTAGGGCCTGACCCCAGCGAGCTACTCTCTCCCACCAAGGCTAGTTGGCAACAAGGTATGAACCTTAACCACAACTGGAAAAGACAGTGCTTGTCTTTTGTTCATTCAACACATGGTAGAAACACTGTTTCTTCCCCCAGGCTTGCTAATAATAAATCCTCATGGTTTTCAAACTCTAGCAGGCATCACAGTCCCCTGGAGAGCACGCACTGTTAAAAATAGGTTCCCCCAGTGCTCCACTCCCCTGCTAAGGATTTTGACCTTGGGGGTGGGCCCTGAGATCTGAGGTTTCACAAGCTTCCCGGGTCATTCTGATGTAGCCGTGCCAGGAAGCATGCTTTGAGACATGCCGGGGTAGCCTTGTGTGCCTCTCACTTTGTCTTCCTCTTCCCAGGAAGTGAGAGTTCTGGGCCATAAATTCCGAAATCCAGTAGGAATTGCTGCAGGATTTGACAAGCATGGAGAAGCTGTGGACGGACTTTATAAGATGGGCTTTGGTTTTGTTGAGATAGGAAGTGTGACTCCAAAACCTCAGGAAGGAAACCCCAGACCCAGAGTCTTCCGCCTCCCTGAGGACCAAGCTGTCATTAACAGGTAGGTGAGTGGCCCAGAGTTCACGGAGGATACCCTCTTTCCAGCTGGGCTTTCAGAGATGTAAGATCTGCGTCTATTGTTTTCTGTCATACAATGTGGATGTTCTTCTGTCATTTGGAACGTTCAGGAACCCTGCTGAGTGTCTACTATGTGCCCCGGGCATCTATCTTAAGCAGGTTTTGTTATGTCCACTTAACAGTTGTGTATGTGGAGGCTCATGGAGCCAAATAACTCAGCTTCAGTCACGGAGACTGTAAGCAGGAGAGGCTGGGCATGGCCTGGGCTTATTGGACTTTAGAGTCTGTGCTCTGCCCATGTTGTTTCTCCAATGCTCTTACTCCACACTGTGCAAAAGAAATGTAATATGAGCCCATATGTGATTTAAAGTATTCTAGTGACCACATTAAAACAGTAAACAGAAATAAGCGAAATTAATACTTAATTACTTAAAATTATAATTTAGTTATATTTACTATGTTACAAGTATTTAAAAAACATATATTTAAAGCAACATAAAAGTTGTTAATGGGCTATTTTTACCTTCTTTTGCTTGTCCCAAGTCTTCAGGAGCCAGTGTGTACTTCCTGTCAGCACTTCTCCCTTGGGACCAGCCACATTCCCAGCTGCCAGTAGCCGCACGTGGCCGGCAGGCTTGTATTGGACAGCACAGCCCCAGCCTTGAGCAAACAGGAGAAAGTGATATTCAACATTCACAGCTGCTCTTAGTAGGAGAGATCCTTCTAGACTGTAGAAAGCCCCTCCCTTTGTCATCCCTGGGCAATTTTTACTACAGCAAACCCAAAAAGTGAAGAAGTGCCTACTTTTTGGAAGAGGATTTTGAAGAGCTTCCTTAGGGAGATTTCGAAGGGCATCTTTGGGGCTTGTGGTAGCCTCCTGGGAGACAGACCTGTAGGATGTTTACTTGGCCGTGCTTCCTGCTTTATTATGCTTGTTTCAGAAAAATTCTCCAGCATTAGAGATCAAGTTATTGATCTTTCTGCTGCATTGCAGCTGGAGATCAATATCTTCAGAATTGGCCAGGCAAAATGTATTTGCATATCATTCAGCTGCTACAGATAACTGCAGGTGCTGGGATGATGGTACTTGGTGAATCCTGTAGGTGAGCAGGGGTGTGAGATCGTGTTCTGAGCACTGTGTATGCGGCCTCCTGGCTGCGCAGCACATGCTGGGTGTGCAGTAAACAGTTGCTGAATGAATGGGTGAATTTATGAAGTCATCAAATATGTGTGCCACTGTATCTGTTATTATAGATGCCTTTGGCTTTAACAAAGTGGCTTAAACAATAGGCATTTTATATTATTTTCTTCTCATAACAGGTGTGATGGGCAGGTCCCGGGTTGGTTGAGCACCAGGGCAATGCTGAGACTCTGGTCCAACTTCTCTGGGCCTTCCCTTTTAGCTTGTCAGAGAGTGACCTCAGCTGCAAGTATTTTTGTTTTTTGTTTTTTTCTTTTTTTGAGATGGAGTCTCGTTCTTTTGCCAGGCTGGAGTGCATTGGCAGGATCTCAGCTCACTCGTCTGTCTCCCAGATTCGAGCAGTTCTCCTGCCTCAGCCTGCTGAGTAGCTGGGACTACAGGTGCGTGCCACCACACCTGGCTAATTTTTTTTAGTAGAGATGGGGTTTCACCATGGTCAGGATGGTCTCAGTCTCCTGACCTCATGATCTGCCTGTCTTGGCCTCCCAAAGTGCTGGGATTACAGGTGTGAGCCACCACGCCCAGCCAAGTATTATGTTCTTACATAGACGCCCAAGAGCAGAAGGGAAGAGTGGAGGGCTGCTCTCAGAGGCTCCCAGTAGGCCTCACTAGTGTCTCCGTGTCCACATCTGGGCACACATTTGTGCTTCACTTGCCAGCAAGGCTGGGAAAGGAGTCATTAGCATTTTTACCCTGTATCGGGGAAGGTGGGCTTTACTGACGAGATGGAAGAGGAAGGGGACTGGCTACTAGGTCAACATGCACGGTGAGGCTGGGGACACAGGGATGAAAGAGAGATGAGGCCCCTGCCTTCGGGGAGTGTCTAGTGACAGTGACAGAGGAATGAGAGAGGTATGAGATGTTGCTCACCCTCAAGAAGATTGTAACCTAGTATGAGACCTTGAGCATATATGTATGCACCTATCCTGAGCCAGGAGAGAGGTAGGAAGGCCAGGGCGCTGAGGGGTCCTTTGTAGCTGGGAGCTCTGCGCAGGAGGAGAGGGAGCGTTCGCTCTGAGCTAGGAAGAGATGCGATTTTCACAGGCAGAAAGCGTAGGGAGATGGAGGTGGCTGCAGAGGCCTCAGGAGGCTGTTGGGGAGCCCAGCAGCAGGTGGCAAGTGTGTGTGCGATTCTCAGTGGTTGGGTAAGGAGTGGCGATCCAGCAGATCTGGGGCAGCTGCTGCTGAGCCTGGGCTGTTTCCATTGCCAGTTGGCTGAGTGTTTGCAAATTTTAATCTTTCCTTGGGTATTGGATGGTGTTCTAGCAAGTTCTCTAGGACCCCCAGGGGTGTTAAGACCCTGGAAGTGTAGAACTGACTGTGATTTTTTTTCTCTTGAGTTTAAAAGTCTTAAGTATACAGGAAGTGGCCATGGAGCGGTCTCTCTAAATCCTCTGCCCTCGTACTTTGCCCCTCCCATCTGCTTGTTCTCTGCAGGTATGGATTTAACAGTCACGGGCTCTCAGTGGTGGAACACAGGTTACGGGCCAGACAGCAGAAGCAGGCCAAGCTCACAGAAGGTAAAGTGGGGTTGCGTCAGCGGGCCTTTCTTATTGATTAGGAGGAAACATGGGAGAAACGCTGGGAACATTTCTAGTGAAATAAACGTAATTGAGCAATAGCAAAAACCACTAAGGAACTCAGTGGTTACCTGAGCTCAATAGCAAAAACCACTAGGGAACCACCAAAATGCCTTCTAGAGAACCAGGCATTTCCTGGTCCCACATAGCCTCCAAGAGTTTAACTGGATTTCACAATTTAGCAAATACTTTGCTTCTGCCTCGTTATGTAACCTGTTACCCTAACTAGGGAGCCTGAAAGCAAACGAAGCAAAGCGGCTGGGCTGTGATCTCACCGGCAGTGACGGCGTGAGCAGGACTTAAGCGTCATCTTCCTCTGGTCCCCTCTGTCCTCCCTTTTTTTTGTCTATTGTGTAAATATTGTTCATTAATTATAGAAGACTTAGTAAATACAGAGAAATGTAAAGACAGAAAGTTCAAGAAACAGATACTCCTCCCTACTCAAGGATAACTAATATTAGCATTTGGGAAAATATTCTTCATGACTTGTTTTGGAAACAATGCTCATCTTTGGCTCAGTGTGGTGGCTCACACCTGTAATCTCAACACTTTGGGTGGCCAAGGTGGGAGGATCGCTTGAGCTCAGGAGTTTAAGACCGGCCTGGGCAACATGGTGAGATCCCATTTCTCTAAGAAAAAGAAACAAAAACAACATACATTCTGGAAGGTGCCTTCAGCCACACGGGTGTTCTCTGTGGCCTCTGCCTCCTCTGTCTCCGGATGTACTTAGTGATTGTAGCCCTGTGTTGCCCCGACCCTAATGCCCCTGGTACGCTCTCTGGGACTGTGTGGGGCTGCGGTTCAGTAGTGACTGTTTTCTTCTTAGAGTCCCTCTGAAACTCCTTCCAGGGTGTCTTAGTCCCACATAGTCCTGGTAGCAGGATGAAGAAACCGCACGGGGTTCATTTCAGGAAGTGAGGTGGAAAGGGCACTGAGCAGTGTCAGATTTGGGGAACAGGAAGTGATCTTTTGGGAACCCCTGGCTTGGGTGGAACCCCACTATACTGCAGAGCCACCCACGTGGGGAGCTTTGGAGGTCACCACAGGACCTGCATGGTTTGTGATGCTTACCTGCCTTCGTGCTTGCTTTTTTTTCTCGGTGTCTGCAGTGCTGTGTCCTGGCTTGATCCCCTGTTCTTCCCCACCCAGCCCTCCCGGTCAGCGGATGAAGCACAGCTGCAGCAATGCTCTGCATGGAGGTGTCTGCCAGCAGCTTAGGGGCCTTGATGACAGCTTCTTGTTAGCACCATGCCAAGGAACATGCTTTGATAAAAGCTTTGGTGCCCTTTGGGGACACAGTAATCCAGCATTTCTGTCTAACTCCCAAATCTTGTCAGTTTGGGCAGATCTTCTAATCCATTAGCTACATGGAAGTGATAGTCTCCTTCAAGCGAGTTTACTTTCATGGAAAAGAATTCAAGCTTACAAATGGTCTTGGCTTGATGGGAAGCTTGGAGACCTTATGATAACCATTTTCTCTAATCGAATTCTTTTTTTTTTTTTCCTTGAGACAGAGTCTGGCTCTGTTGCACAGGCTGGATGGAATGCAGTGGCGTGATTTCAGCTCACTGCAACCTCCGCCTCCCAGGTTCAAGCAATTCTCCTTTCTCAGCCTCTGGAATAGCTGGGATTATAGGGGCCTGCTACCACACCCAACTAATTTTCATATTTTTAGTAGAGACAGGGTTTTACCTTGTTGGCCAGTCTGGTCTTGAACTGACCTCAAGTGATCGCCTGCCTCGGCTTCCCAAAGTGCTGGGATTACAGGCATGAGCCACTGTGCCCGGCTTCTAATAGGGTTCTGATCCCCTCCTTCAGTCCCCACCCTGGAAGGTAGCTACACTAATCTCATTTACTTTCTAGCTGAGATGAGAGGGTGTGCTGGGGCGTGAGAAGGTGGTTAGCAGTACAGCAGATGTTTGATCCTCTCTGGCCTGGGAACACATTTTGTGAGCTACTTGTTCTAGGTCTTTCCCCAACCTTCAGATGGAAAAAAACAGCCTGTACCATTGATGTACCACTCCCTGTGCAGATATGAGAGTATCTTAGGAGAAATCAAGTGTAGACAACCGTTTTCTTTTACACATAGTATGTTTCTGAAAATGTGTTTTTCTAGAAGTCCAAAATGCAAGTCCATTGATAGTGAGTCCTGTGGATTTTTCAGTGAACTGACCTTGTAGCTTACATGCAAACTGAGACCCTCCTGAGAGTAAAAAGGGGCAGGTGTTAATAATGATGCCCAGGCTAGGGGAGTGATCAGGCTGTCCCGGGAGCACAGAAGATACGGGGTTCCCTCAGTTGTCACATGAGGGAGAATCCCTTTCCTCAGAGAAGTAAAATAAGTTATAAACAATTACACCTCCACATTTGAGACATGATAATTGAAAATATTTGGCCGGGTGCGGTGGCTCACACCTGTAATCCCAACACTCTGGGAGGCTGAGGCAGGCACATCACTTGAGGTCAGGGGTTTGAGACCAGCCTGGCCAAGATGGTGAAACTCTATCTCTACCAAAAATACAAAAATTAGGCTGGGCGCTGTGCCTCACGCCTATAATCCCAGCACTTTGGGAGGCGAAGCAGGTGGATCATGATGTCAGATCGAGACCATCCTAGCCAACATGGTGAAGCCCTGTCTCTACTAAAAATAAACAAATTAGCTGGGTGTGGTGGCGCGTACCTGTAATCCCAGCTACTTGGGAGGCTGAGGCAGGAGAACTGCTTGAACTTGGGAGGCGGAGGTTGCAGTGACCCAGGATCATGCCACAGCATTCCAACTTGGGCAATAGAGTGAGGAGACTCCATCTCAAAAAAAAAAAAAAAAAAAAAAAAAAATTCCAATATATATATATTTTTGAGACAGCATCTTGCTTTGCTGCTCAGGCTGGAGTGCAGTGGCGTGATCACAGTTCACTGCAGCCTCAATCCTACTTCAGCATCCCGAGTAGCTGGGACTACAGGAGTGCATCATGCACCCAGCTGATTTTTTAATTGTAGACAGGGTTTTGCCATGTTGCCCAGACTGGTCTTGAATTCCTGGGTTCAAGCAGTCCTCCTACCTTGGCCACCTAAAGTGCTGTGATTACAGGCGTGAGCCACCATGCCCGGCCTGGTTTTCAGTATTGTATACATACTCTTTCATTTTGCTTTTTCTTTGCAACTGCACATCCAGTCAGCTGAGCCAAGACCAACAAGCATCCCTTGAGGTGAGCGTCGCCGGCCTGACATCCTACTGAGTTCTGTCTGTTCTCGGTTTTATTCAATTTATGAGGCCCATCTTTTGTACCATAAGTATTTGCACTTATTTGTCCATTTTCCATGAAAAATTTAAAAATAAAAAGGGCAAAATGTAGCAAAACATCGTGATAGCTGCCCAGACTTTGCTAGACAAGCTAGCGAGTGGTTTTTGGTCAGTAGGCAGGCCCAGGCCAGTGGAGCACCTGTCAGCCGGTGCGGGGCAGGTCAGGTTTGGGGGCAATTCCCACACAGCTGTCCACTGGTGGTTTGGTCAAGGACAGCCTCAGAAGGTGGCTCAGGAAATGGTGTGCGGGGCACAGGCCTGAGCAGCGATGTTTGCAGGTGGACTGCCGCTGGGGGTCAACCTCGGGAAGAACAGGAACTCAGCGGACGCCGCGGCAGACTATGCAGAAGGGGTGCGCGTGCTGGGTCCACTGGCCGACTACCTGGTGGTGAATGTGTCCAGCCCCAACACTGCCGGGCTGCGGAGCCTTCAGGGAAAGGCCCAGCTGCGCCGCCTGCTGACCAAGGTGGGCAACTGCACCTCTTCTCCAGGCCCCGTCCCACCAGCCACCCTTCATTCTCTAGGGCGGTTTCAGCATCGCCCTCAGAAGCTATCCTTAGCACCTGGACCAGTAAGACCCCTGGCTATGCCTTCCTGGAGCCCCTTCTGATCCCGTCATGACAATGATTATACACAATGGTGACAAATTATGTGTCCCTGCTGCTGCAAACCACGGGGTCTTTGAGAGCAGAGACTGTGTCTCTCATTTGTCTCTCTGACCCTAGCACCCAGAGCTCTGAGTGAACTGAAGGACTTCATCACCTAGTACTTGCGGTAATATTTCCTGGTTATCTTTTAGGAATAAAAGTCTAAAAGAGGCTGGGCACAGTGGCTCATGCCTGTAATCCCAGCCCCATGGGAGGCCAAGGTGGGTGGATTACTTACAGCCCAGGAGTTTGAGACCAGTCTGGGCAACCTGGCAAAACCCCATCTTACAAAAAATACAGAAATTGGCTGGGCATGGTGGCGCACACTTGTAGTCCCAGGTACTCTGGAGGCTGAAGTGGAAGGATCGCCTGAGCCCAGGGAGGTGCAGGCTACAGTGAGCCGTGATCATGCTACTACACTCCAGCATGGGTGACAGAGTGAGACCTTGTCTCAAAAAACGTCTGAAAAACCCTTAAGCTATTAGCCAATGCCCATGGGGATCCCTTGGCCTAAAAAAATGGAATCGATCCATCTTGATGGTGCACCTCACATGTCTGAGGGCTAGGTTTCCTGAAAAGGAGATTTGTTCCTGCTTTAGTCTGATCGCTTTTGTGGAAACCCTGACCTGTGCTGTAGGTCACAGCTGCGCTGTGGGCTGTGGTCTGCATGGTCCCCAGCTCTGGCTATGTGTCACCCTAGGTGCTGCAGGAGAGGGATGCCTTGCAGGGAGTGCACAGGCCGGCAGTGCTGGTGAAGATCGCTCCTGACCTCACTGCCCAGGACAAGGAGGACATTGCCAGTGTGGTCAAAGAGGTTCGAGTGGGGGTCTGGGGCCAGGGTGCACCCCCCGATGGTCTGCAGAGGCCATTTGGCCAGATGCGCTAGCCCAGAACAGCAGCCTTTGTGATTTCCTCTCCTTGATGTTGAAGGCTGGGTTGGTGCTTGTCATGGTGTAACTCACCCTGTAGTCAAAAGCGAACATTGGAATAAATGCTCGAAGGAGCCTTTTTCTCATGCCTCTTCCTGTCTCTCCTCATTTCCATCCAGCAAGGTTAAGGCATGAGCTTGGTTGGGTCCTTGGCCACTCTCAAATATTCCTTATCTCACTCCTCTCTCTAGCCTGTCTGAACAGCAGGTCTCCGTGGCATAGGAGAGTAGTGGAAACTGATTGAGCCTGGCCGTCATGGGTTCAAATCCTGGTTCTACCACTTACTACCTGGGGGCCTCAGACAAGACACTATAATTGGGTTGTTGTAAGGACTGGACACTGTCCTAGCGGAATGTTACGGGTGGTCAGTGTGGTCACATTATGGCTCATTTTACAACTTGTTGAGGAAAAGATGAGCAGTGGGGTCTGGTGTAGCTCTTGCCTTGGTGGCTGTAAGTATAGCCCGGCTGCTGCTTTTGACCTCCAGAGAAGCGCCTCTGAGTCCTGCAGTGCCATGACTCACAGTTTTTTCTCTATCTCGCACTGCAGTTGGGCATCGATGGGCTGATTGTCACAAACACCACTGTGAGTCGCCCTGCTGGCCTCCGGGGTGCCTTGCGCTCTGAAACAGGAGGGCTGAGCGGGAAGCCCCTCCGGGATTTATCAACTCAGACCATTCGGGAGATGTACGCACTCACCCAAGGCAAGGCTTCCAGCGTCTGTCTTCACATCTGCATGTGGTGTGGGCTCTTCGGTTGTGATGGGAATCATAATTCCCTAATTTGCTGTGATTGTGGGGGACTGGGGGGCTGAAGCCACATTCTTCTTTATGGTGTTGCCGTGTGCTTTTCTATAGGCCGAGTTCCCATAATTGGGGTTGGTGGTGTGAGCAGCGGGCAGGACGCGCTGGAGAAGATCCGGGCAGGGGCCTCCCTGGTGCAGCTGTACACAGCCCTCACCTTCTGGGGGCCACCCGTGGTGGGCAGAGTCAAGCGGGAACTGGAGGCCCTTCTGAAGTGAGTGAAGCCAATCCATGTGTGGCTTGAAACAGAAGTTAGGCAGAGGTTAATTCAGAATCACTTTCTTGTTCATTCAAAAAGGAGTTGACGGGTACACTCTGAAGTGGGGAGAAATTATTCTGGGTTACTCTTTTGATGAAGGACAAACAGTGCCAAGCAGAACTGAGGATTAGCCTCCAAGGCAATGGTGTTTCTAAAGCAGAGTTGTCCATTTGCTCGAGGGAGAGGAGCCTGAGGAATCCCAGCAGCATTCCCATTAAAAATTAAGCAACACTGGCTCAATGTTGGGAGCTGTCAATGCTTAAAAGCAATTTCCTTCCTGCTCTGTTCCTACCTTGGTGGAACTATCCCTAGGTCCCTGGGTGAAGAGTGTAGAGAAAATGAACGAAGATGTGCCTGGGCGGGATGATGCGTTTATGGGTGAACGTGGGCTTCCTGTAAGAGCAGGGCCCATCCTTCACTGTTTGCTGAAATTGCTTTGTTTGCTCTTTCCAGAGAGCAGGGCTTTGGCAGAGTCACAGATGCCATTGGAGCAGATCATCGGAGGTGAGGATGGCATCTGTCGGGAAACCTGATCTGGAATCTTCCCAAGGACTCAGGCAAGCCTCTGTGGCTGGATCGTGAGAGGAGGAACTCTGTCTTGAGCCATGTCCCCAAGCGGTGGCATGGCGGCACCGTAAATGCCAGTCGGGGTCACCAGGCTCAACTGTGGGCTTTCTTCAGTCCGTTGGTCAGATCATCAACTGCATTTGTGATTCTTTGTGGATTCAAACCCTAGGATCCGTCAGTATTGCAAGGACATTGAATATTAGGGGAAAGAAGTCATGGAAAAAATAAAGCCATTTAGAACCTGGATTTAAACCCTAGCCCTTTCTGGTTTGCCACAGGCCCTGCCCAGATGCTGTAGGGCCTTCCAGGATCTTCCACCTGCATCTGCAGTGGGCTTCCCAGGAATCTGAGTGTGTTTCATTTGATCTTTATTTATTTAATATTTTAAACTTAAAAAAAAAAAAAAAATTCAAACATAAGGGTGGGGCATGGTGGCTCATGCCTGTAATCCCAGCACTTTGGAAGGCCAAGGCAGGCAGATCAACTGAGGTCAGGAGTTCGAGACCAGCCTGGCCAATATGGTGAAGCCCTGTCTGTATCAAAAATACAAAAATTAGCCAGGCGTGGTGGCAGTCACTTTTAATCCCAAGAATCCCTTGAACCCATGAGGCGGAGGTTGCAGTGAGCCAAGATCGCACCACTGCACTCCCGCTTGGGTGACAGAGTGAGACTCCGTCAAAAAAACAAAAACAAAAAATGTTTTCCCATTTCTCTCCCTCCCTCTCTCTATAACCTGGATAAAATATTCATATGTATTATGGATTTATTATTGCTGAGTCATTGCGCCTTACCCTGAAGTGCTTCAGTCTGTTTCTCCTAAGCATCCTGACATTAGGCTTTTGATGAGAAAATTGGCCTGAATTCTTCACCAGCAATTCAAACAGTACCACACTCTTGAAGTGTAAACCTTCGGTCCCTCCTCACGCCACTCTACAGACATGCCTTCTGCTTGGTGTTTATCTCCCGGACTTTTCCCCTGCATAAAAATGTTCATTTTCTACATACATACTCAGATATCTATGTGGCTGTGTGTATTTTTGGAATACCTATTTATGGATGGAATGCACACTGTTTTCTGTATAGTTATTTTACGTTTTCACCCAAATGGCATCATCACACAAATACGATTCTGCGTCGACTTTCTTCATCTTCACATGTGGGCCGGTTCATGCTGGGCCTCATTTCCCGGTTGGTGATCATGTTGCTGACTTCTGGCATTTTCCTATCACTGTTGGTGCCTCAGTGAACACCGTGTGAATGTGCCTTCGTTTGGGCAACAGTGCAGAGCAGATTCCAAGAGGTGTCACAGCGGGGCTGAGGGGTTGGTGTGTTTCACATTCTGATAGATAGAGCCAAGCTGCCCCCATCAGGTTTTCAAGCTGCCCCTTTCCCATCATGGAGACAGCAACAGAGGGGACATCCCTAGCTCCTCTGGCTTTGCCTGTTCAAAGCTAACCTGTGAGGCCTGAAGAAAGGAGCTGCCAGGAAGGCGTCTCCCGTCCAGTGAACACTGACTGTGGGCCGGATGCTGCCCCAAGGGCTTGATATGCCCGCTTTACAGATGAGGAGATGGGGGCAGAAAGGCGGGTGATGGTCCAGTCCCTGTGTATGGAGGCTGCTTGGCTGGGCTCAAGCCTGGCGGGGTGGTTGCAGAGCATGTTGTGCCGAATGGTCCAAGCCTTGGCTGCTGTCAAAGCTGGCTCATTGCCTTCTGCTTCTCCCTATTTGTTCCTTACTCCAGGAAGAGCAGTGCCCTGAAGGAGAGACAGGAATGGGCAGAAGGAGAAGGAAAAGGAGCCATGTGCTGGCCAGTCCCCTGTGGGTCGCTTTCCTCACCAGCTTGGGCTCCCACATGCCACATCAGGTACTTGTCCACATACTCTGGACACCTGCCTTGTTCTGTCTCAGCTTCGATGCTCTCTGAGCCACCTGCCCTCCCTTCCCCATGTTACAGGCATCTACCTGCTCTGTCCTACTTAATAGCTTTAGGACTGAACGATTCCGGAAAGGGAAGGGAAGGGGTGGAGGAGAAGGGGGAGGAGTAGGCCCTTGGAAGGTTCTCCATGGGAGACTGACATTCTGTCTCAGCACAGCTGGAACAGGCTGCTTGACCACCAGAGTAAGGAGCTGTCTTGCATTCAGGGACCATATAGTGTGAGGATATCTATTTTTCTTCCCTCCCCTCCCCTCCACTTCCTCCCCTTCTCTCCCATCCCTTCCCGTCCCCTCCCCTCCCCTCCTTTCTTCCTTTGACGGAGTCTCACTCTGTCACCCAGGCTGGAGTATAGTGGTGCAATCTCCGCTCACTGTGGCCTCCATGTCCTGGGTTCAAACAATTCTGCCTCAGCCTCCTGAGTAGCTGGGATTACTGGTGCCCGCCACCACGCCCGGCTAATTTTTGTATTTTAAGTAGAGACGGGGTTTCATCATGTTGGCCAGGTTGATCTCGAACTCCTGACTTCAGGCAATCTGCCCGCCTTGGCCTCCCAAAGAGATGGGATTACAGGTGTTAGCCAACACGCCTGGCCCGAGGATTCCTATTTTTCTTAATGCTGGAAGCCACATTACGACCCCAGAGCGGCTGTCAGTGCTGGGAGACCTGGGAGATTGGTGATGCCTGTGTCTTCCTTTGGGACCGAGGATGGTGGAAAGGTGCGCAGAATTCCAAATGCTATTTACATTACTCACTTTTGTGTTTTCTGTGGAGTGCATAATTGTCTTTGGTTGCCAATTTCATATCAGTTAAATAAAAGCCCTAGGTTAATCCTATTCTGTGACTTACTCTTTTCACATGTCATCATGGATATACTTCAATATTCATCCCTCAGATTGGCCCTGCTTTAACAGCCCTTTCCACAGCATAAATGCTTCAGCATTTGCTTATGGGTAAACACAAAGGATATTTTCAGTTTTTCACATCAGACAGTGCTTCAGTGCTCAGGGTTTATGTTATCTTTGTAGTCTTACATATCTTTGTGGTAGAATAGATTCCCAGAATTGGTATTGCTTGGGCAAAGTTTATACATACTGAACATGTTGACAGTTATTGCCAAATTGCCATGAAAGAGGGCTGTCCAACTTTGTAAGGGAGGCCCCTTTCCTCTTACGTTGTTCCACACAGGAATTTCAATTTCACTGGTCTGGAATAAGCTGTTCGTTCTTCTCAACTTTTCCACCAGGAATAGCTTGCATTATGGCTCTCCCTTGGTTTAAAAAAAAAAAAAAAAGAGAGAAAAAAAAGAAATGGAGGGTTTAGCAAGTTACTTTGGGCTGCAGCCAGTGACTGCCACGTGCATCTCTCTCTTTTTCTCTCCTCTGTCTCCTACAATGGGCTCAGCTCTGTATCAGAAACGGCTGAGGTTCCTACATGCAGCAGCTTCCTTCAAAGGGGCAGGTGCGTCAGGTCATATACACTCTGTGTTTTGAAAGAATTCATTTCCCCACTGACTTTCTGATAGGCTGCTTCTGTGTCAAGTTCTGCAGCCAATACTTTTTAATCTGGTTATCCATGAAGACCCCACTTGGAAAATATCCAGTCAGAATGGCAGTCTCCAGGACAAGTGGGGAACGGTGATGCGGCATGGAGACGATTTGCTCGCTTCCATCTTGGAGGCCGAGGGTGTAGCTTGGCTAGCTCAGTAGCTTCTTGGTGGTGCTTACTCAGATTTTCCTACTTAGGTAGGAAAATCAGGTTTGCAGGACACGGAGGGTTGACTCGGCTCTGCTCTCAGCAGCAGATGGGAGTCACAGACTCCATCTGGAAGAGGACCCTGCTCTTGCACTCCAGCTAGTTTGCTGCCCGCAACGTTGGCCAGCCTTTAATAAGAGAAAGCCAGCCGGGCATGGTGGCTTATGCCTGTAATCTCAGCACTTTGGGAGGCTGTGGCGGGCAGGTCACAAAGTCAAGGGATCAAGACCATCCTGGCCAACATAATGAAAGCCCATTTCTACTAAAAATACAAAAATTAGCTGGGTGTGGTGGTGCATGCCTATAGTCCCACCTATTTGGGAGACTAAGGCAGGAGAATTGCTTGAACCTGGGAGGCAAAGGTTGCAGTGAGCCGAGATTGCGCCACTGCACTCCAGCCTGGCAACAGACTGGGACTCAGTCTCAAAACAAACAAACAAACAAACAAAAAACCAAATAAATAATAAAAATAAGAGAAGGCAGAAATTTGCATGTTTTGTGAATCATCTCCAGTTTTTAAGACATGAGCTGATATCGTGCCAGTCCATTAAAACTGGTTTGTGTGCCATATGTGAATTAGCGCTTCTAATTTAGGTCCATACTGTTAACAAAAGACCATGAGATTTATGGAGGCAAAAGGGAGAACTTTATTTTCTGAAGGCAATCTGCAGATCGGGGAGATACAGCCTTTGGTGTAAAATGAAAGTGTGCTCTGAGAACGTGTCTGAGAGTAGGACATTATAAAGGCAAAAACCCACAGAAAAGGAGTAAGGAACAGTCTTACAGTGTCTTACTTTGTCACCCACTCTAGAGTGCAATGGCATAATCACAGCTCACTGCAGCCTTGACCTCTTGAGCTCAGAGTCCTCCCTCCTCAGCCTCTCAAGTGTGCACATACTTGGTTATTTAAAAAAATTTTTGTAGACATGGATTCTCACTATGTTGTCCAGACCGGTCTCAAACTCCTGAGCTCAAGTGATCCTCCTGCTTCAGCCTCCAAAAGTGCTGTGATTACAGGAGTGAGCCATCGCGCCTGGCCAGGAACAGTCTTGACTGGATGCCTTTTAAGCCCCAAATCACCAGTCTCTTAGTTGGCTGGTTCCAGGTTGTCGGTCAGTTGGTACCTGGTGGTCAGGTGGGGAATTTCCAGGTACAGTTGTTTTCAGGCACTGTTCTTTGACTTGGTCACAGAAAAACAGACTTTGCAACACTTTCCAAGGACACAGTGTTACCACTACCCTCACCCTGCCATGACCTCTTGGTTCTGCTTTTAACTCTTGGGCCTCAGGGAGTCCATCTTGTCTGTCAACTGGGGGTATAATTCGTCATTTCCCTTTGGTAGAAACTTGCTGTCGGCAGCACTGATGACCAGTGTATGCTCTATCACATATTGCTGCCCGCATGGTGTGGCTACCTGCCCTGGGTCCATCTAGTCCCATGGTGGTGGGACTCATGTGGCTAAGAAGCTTATGATAACTGCACAACTTTGGCCATGCAGAGTCTAAAGTGGGTGGGCAGACCCCTGTTAGACCTTTATTTATTTATTTTTTTTTGAGAC